GCATTGACCACGATGTTCGGGGTACGAGGGGATCTCTTAATAGGATTTACTTAGGTAACTATATTCAGTTTTTAGGGTTGTCTAGCGTGCCCAGTAACATAAAACTGCTTTTAGGTTAGACAGTTTCTTCCTAACTACCGAAGGAAAGGAAGCTTTGAATTCACGATGGGCATGTCACCTACTACTGTCATCCCAATTTTCAAGGAAGTTTCAGATATTGTGTTGTTACCAAAATAGTCCAGTACGGATTTCTTCATATTCCATCCAGTAATGTCGCTAACAGACTCGTAAATGTTTTTTTATAAAAACAGTGAGTAAGATCTGGCTCAAAGTTGGAGGAAAATAGGAATTTACTGAAAAAAATGTTACGGTCTTTAATTTAGAAAGGTCGTTTCCGCAACAAACTTGCCGGATGCTCAGTGGAGGCGGCAGGGTTCGAAAAAATAAAACAAAAAAATAATCAAGAGTCAATTAAATTAAGAGTCTAACGAGCGCCACGCTATTTAATTTATTGAATTTGGGAAATAGCGAAAACCATAATAATAATAATAATAAAAGATTAGGACGCGGAGCGAGCTACGAACTCGGAACCTTTGGGTTTAAAAACATATGTTAATTAACTTTCCTCCTTGGTTAACCTATCGAACCTACTTACTTGGTTAATTATGACTTTCCCTAATCCCTCGAACAGGGTTTTACAATTCCTTATTAAACATAAAAAGAAACAATATAATATATACATAAATTTTTTTTTTTTTTAGTTTTAACTTTTGTTTATCGATAAATATTACAATCTGTCTCAATAACGGACATTTATAATAAAGTTCTGAGAGCACATTCACACCATATTTACAAATTTTAAAAAATAATTAAAAAAAAATAAGCTAACTTCAAATAATATAAAGCTACAAAAGAACAAAAGTAAAATATAAAAATATATATACTTAAATATGAAAACAAACAGAAGAAAATAAAACTTGCTATTATTAATACTAATGATGAATTTACTTATTTCTATTAATTTAAATAACTGTTGAAGGAAATGAAAATTATGGACAAGAAATTAGATTTATAAAAAAACAAAGAAAATACTATCAACTTTAATTATTAAAAAAAAGGACATAAAATCATTATTAAACTAAACATGAACTTACGACTATACAATAAACCAATTACAAACATAAAAAAAAAATAGATAGGAAATAAAAACTTATATATACATATTTACAAAATATCAATGCCGAACTTTGTCCAATTGGCACATTGAATTATCTGAGGAATCGCGATCTTAAGCCAGCTAGCGTCGTCAGTGTCTTCCCAATTTATCTCCTCGAGTTGTGAAAATGTTCATTCACCAACTTGTAAGATCAAGCGATACTCGTCGCTGATAATCACATATCCATGAATAGTAAAGAAAATCCGGTGTACACTCAACACTCGCGAGGTGCCGCCATCACTCTCTCAACTCGACTGTATTTTGTTTTTTTCTCCCAATCAGCTGTTTTCTGTTACACTGACTTAAAAATAATATTTACAACTAATACTTAAAACTAGACTTATTATAAACAATTGCTTATTATTAAAACTAATACTAAATACTTAATTAACTAATACTTAATTATATATTTAACCCTCTTCGAGTTAATAAAAAAAGAACTTATTATTATTTATAAAAACTAAAAATTATTTTACGAACTGATTTTTTTTCTTATTTTATTTTTCGTCACAAAGTTATGATGTATCAATATTCACGAACCATGATTACTATTTGCTCTTAGGTATCTGCAAATGTATGTTTTTTCGATAAACATTTATTCCAAAAACTGCACATTTATTTAGTCTAACAAGGATAGGATAGAGTCTGTAGGTCACCGATTTCAACCAATTTTTTTTTCGTGATACTATATCGAAAAAAATTAGACATATATCCCGGCGTTCTTTCCAATGGTCCCGTTCCATATATATGGACATTTGTTAGTCTGACATATGTCACGCGCTCTTCTCTTTTCTCTGATTAAGTCTCTTATGTACTCAGTTGTTGCAGTGTTTAACTTTGGTATTGATGAAGTCCAAGCTGAATGTTGAATATTTTTGTGAATATTTTCACAGGCTACTTCAGTTTTTTTTTTTCATTTTTTAAAGACACGGGGATCAAAAGCGATAAGTTTAAAACCTCTCTATAACTATAACAGTCAATTCGTCCATTGATGAGTGCAGCTCTCTTTTGCACGTTTACAGCCTCATCTAGCAGCATAATGTGTACTGCGGAATGATAGGAGCTAAGATCAGAGCTCGTAGCTATGGAGTGAGATACGGTCCGCAGTCCTTTTATAAGAAACAAGTCCAAAAGGTCCGAGAATTTACGTGTCGATACAGGTCAGTATGTCGGTGTGGCAGTGTTTATAGTGTCTAATGAAAGTTCATGGATAGCATAAGTTAAATTTCTTCCTCTTGGTTTGCTTAGCTGTGACCCACAATGTTAACGCTTTGCGTCGACCTAACATCGAAATAGGCTTTGGAAGAAGTTGCAAAACATCTAAGATGTCAGCACATATTTTGGAGGACAAAAGATGGAAGCTAGTGTCAATGTGTTGTGTTTCATGTACAGTGTGATACCTGGGGACTGAATATCAGGTAAATGGTAAGTAAGTGTAAATGGTTGTGTAATAATTTTTTTAAAAACTCTTTTTATTGAGAAATAATACATTTTACCACACTTAAGGGCACTGAGTACTAAAGCTGAGTTAGGCCCATTCATAATATATATATACAATATAATAAAAAAAAAAATGAAAAAATAAAAATTGTGTAATAATAATGATCTTATCCCATGATCAAAGCCTGGGAGCTTCAATCAAGTCCACGACTTCCCCATTCCCCTCTGCACTTGGGGTTGAGATGAGGTCCATGTCTTCGGTTGATTTCACCTTCAATTATTAATTGATACTTTTCACTCAAAATGAATTAAAAGCCCTGTTAAATCTCGATTCTACAATAAAATCCTAATAATCTTTTTCTGTTAAAAAAAGAATTGTTTTATAAGTTTAAGCACAATAACATATAATAATAAAATAAAATTAATAAGTTCTATTTGATTGCTTAGACCATTACGGCGTGTGTTCGATTCCCATATGAGGACAGTAATGTCTCCATTCAGAAATTCACAGCGATGTGGGTGACCCCTGTGTCTTACAGTATAGCTCTTAGTTGTCTTAAGTTGGGAGTTGGGTATAGGGCTGGTAGTCCCCATAACAAAATGGGTGGAGATTGCCGCAAAAGATTTTCAACCATCCTTCAGGAATATTCCTCAAAAAGAAGGAGTGAATTGTGATCGCGTCCGTTATATCCGTGATATCTTGAAGAAGAGAATCAATCAGCTACAACATCTCCAAAAAGCTACTAGAAGACTCATGGCGAAAATTCGATGTTAAGAGGCTTAAAAAAAAAGTTTTAAATATCTGAAAAATTTCGGTTCTTGTTTTATTGATTATATGTACACAATAGTCTTATGAATAAAACTTATTTTGTTTCCACTGAGATAACAAATGCTAAACTGAGGGAACACATCTCAGCAATAAATGAAAGAATAATATTAAACCAGATCTCGTCAGTATGGGTTTAAACCCTTCTCCTCAGGCCTTTTCAAAACAAAGGTAACGGTAACAACACTCTTGAATAAAGACAATAAAACCAAATAAAGAAAAGATTTTGTTTAAGAACGATCAGTAGATTTAGCCCATTTTAAAAATAACCTAATGGCTACTATTAATGATAAGAAGATTTAAATTTAAATCACCTTTGCATAACAACAGGATAAAAACATCTTAATTGTAACAACTAACTATTTTCTTATATATTATTTCTAAAAAATTTTCTTTTTCGGTATTCGGGAATTGAGCACACGCCGTAGTGGTCTAAACAATCAAGTAAGCTTATTAATTTTAATTTATTATTAAAACAAATAGGCAACAACAAAAACAAATAAATTAATAAATTAAAATACCTTTAAATTTCCTATAAAATGAATGTAAAAATTTTCAGAATCAGATTATTTTTTGAATAGATACATCCCATTGTAATTTACACACATGTTACATTTTAATTTGAACCATTGTAATCGAGCAAGCAAAATAAAACTAATTCTTGCATCTAATAATATATAGATACTGCATTTACATATTTCTATGTTACAAATATATTGTTATTTGTTCACTTACCAATATATTTTGCGAAATATTCGCACTGACCAACTAGTCTGTATATATTAGTTAGGCTACAATAAGAAAACTTTTTTTAGAAACATAATTGTGATAAATATTAGAAAAATTTTGATTTTAAAGATGGGAAATAATATTTCGTAGCCCAGTGTTATGGAATAAAAAAAAACTTTCAATTGTGTGAACTTTCTGGAAAAGTGTTTAATCTTTCTCTGGCACCTGTGAAAAGTGTGTCAAGTGCAATTTTGTGAATTTTTATGGTTATCCAAAAGAGTTAATTTTTCACTCATTTTTTTTTTTTAATGGGCCAAGTTATGCGGCTATTGCAGAAAAAAAGATTTCTTTTTGAATCACGGTTTGAAACTAAAAAGTTGAACTAGCGTATGTGAAAATACCAAAATTTCAATTGCTTTTTTCCATAAATATGATTTTTAAACTTGATACACCATACTCAGTTGCCACAGATTTAATTAATGGTAAAAGTGATGAGAAATAAAATTAACCGAAACACTCGGTTTTCGTAGTGTTAATAATCAGTTAAATTACAACTTAAATGACACTCAATTATTGCCATACTTATCTATTTAAAACTGATGAAGGTTTTCAGAAATATTCTTAAAGAAAATAAAATCTTTATTCTATCGTAATAGAATAACAATGATTATGATAATAACTTTATTCCTGTTGACATTTAATCAATGTTCTAATTTTTTATGAAGTTTGAACAATATGATTTTGATTTTAACCTTTTGTTCACAAATTAAATTATTTAACAATAAAATCATGAAATGTAATTTACATTCTCTTTCTTCCTGAACGGATACATAGCTGTAAATAGTTGTGAATGATGACAATACAGAATTACTTTTTTATTTACTTTAATTTAATTTGTATTGAGTTGTTTATAAATTATTCAATAATTAATATTGTCGGTTTATTGCAAAAAGTCACAACGTGCATTTCTGATATAGGTTAGCTTTCGAATTTCTTTTTATGGATTTCGGCTTTATTTATCGATACAAAAACACTGTAAGGCATAGAAATGAAACCAGCCTTTTTATACATCAAATATAGTATAACAAATATGTAATACAGTAAGCGCACAATGTTTGGATTTCTGGTAAAAATTATTCTAAGTTCTTAAATACTTGAGGTTATAAAATGTTCCTTAATGAATTTTTGCAATAAAACCATGATATATTGTTTCACTTTTATTTTTTGTTGTTACATTTTGGATTTTCTTCACATACTTATACTATACAACGTGTATATTTAAAATAATCTTTTTTTTTTTTACTATTGAAGTGTATTATTATTATTTTATTTTAGCTTGTATGATAGTATGAATGTATACTTAGGCAATCTAGGTGGCTCAATGATCTAGCTCTTTCATGTATCTATGGTACCAAGGAATGTATACATGGATAAGATTATGAAAAACACACAAAATCGTTTATAAAACCTACCAATTTATTTCATTTATCCATGATTCCTACATTTATTTTATAATATTTTAAAAACTTATTAAACCTATTAAGATAAAATTATTAAATCGTTAATAAATAAAATATATTGATTTGCATTGTCGTTGATTTTAGTTAAACACAATCAAAGAGTGCAGTTTATTTAATAAATAACATTTCAGTCCGACCATAAAGGTTATAGTCATGTTGTAAAATCTATCGGTTGTTGTTAAGAATAATACATAAAATCTAAAAAAAAAAGTATATTTTTAATAGTCTATTTTCGTGGAGACTACGCCGGTGAATGAGATTTATTCAAAATGATGCAAATTATAATTAAAAGTAATTATATAAAAATATAGCTTGCCTACGATAAATGGCATGCTGAGAGTAATAATTTCATTTTGAAATATGTGAAAGAAAAAAAAAAAGAAAATGTTAGTTCAAATGACATTAGTTTCGTACGACTAGCCCTCAGTCTGTCACCTAATTGTGGATAAGCTCTTGTAAAGAATTTACCTATAAAAATAAAGATTAAAAGTAACATATACATATAATATGAGAAAAATTAATGCAGTCTGGAATAATATAAACTATGCCGAAAAACAGTTATAATGTCAATTTAATCTACAAAATAAGATATTTATTCATAGAATAGATAATGATATGATCTACGAATATTAACATATGTTTTACTTAATATGTAAAATACGGGACATAACTATCAGTAATATTTTGAGATATAAGAATGCTACGTGGGAATACTAGCTTACTATAAATCACATATATTTCTTAATAATATAATTTTATTAATTTCTAAATATTTTGTATTTTTCGTGTACTATAATTATTTCATGCAACGTCATAATTAGGAAATTTAAAAAGGAATACAATTAAACTTTTTATTGTATTATGAAAAGATCCATGTGCATTTGCTACTCTTGGTTCAATGAGATGTTGATTATGCACTGTTGAAATGATACTGATTATAGCTACACTTAAAAAATGAGGCGATGCCACATAAAAAAAAAAAATAATACAAGTTGCGGAGTTAAGCGTATTACACACAGAATCTAAAAGAAAAAAAAAAACAATATAAATATAAAAATCTCTATACAAGCCCATTGTTGAATTCAAACATCATGGATGTCAGATGGAGAGTAGAACTAGCCGTTCTGTTCTTCTGATGTACCAGTGGCCCATCCAACCGTATTCCCTCTTAAAACGTTTCCAACGACAGTTCTTTGAGCAGCAGCACCGACGTCGAAAAGTCCGACGAGGACGATCAAGAACAGCAGGAACACAAGCTTCATCGTCACAGCAATGGAAGATTCAAATGAAATATCTAAATCGTTTTCGTTTATAAGCTCGAAAGATCAGCTGTGCAAATATGTGAACAAAACTAACTGAACATGTTAAAATATGTCTGTCTACTAATAGATCCTGTGCAAATATGTTGTTAAAATATAAACAGAATTTTCGTTGCCTTGTTGTAATACTATCAAACAAGTAATCGTGACTAGACAAGTATCAGTTTTTAATATGGAACGATTCAAATTTTATTTTATCATCACCATGATTTATTTCAAAAATAAAATATAAATCTTATTTTGTAGCGAAAATGAAGTACCTAAAATAGTGGCTGTAATTTAAAAAAACAGGTAGGATCCTCACAAGGTGAAATCTTTATATATTAAACAATTTTTCAACAGGATTGCATTAAAAATAGCTGGCAGAACTGGTGGTCGTGTAAATCGGTCATAGAACTGAACCTGGATACAGCCCTCATACGTTGATCCAATATACTTGTGATTAACATTTACTGAATGTATAAAACTTAATGACATCAAATTTATTTTACTTTACATAATTTTTAATTAAATATTCTAACATGTTATTAATCATATTTAAGAAAAATGGTGTAGTAGAAAGCCATAATGGAATAAATAGACAATTTTTCATTGCTTTGAAAAATAAAACATCCGTTCGTGAAATTTTTTGGTTCCTCACTATCGAAGGTAGGAGAGCATTGTATTCGTGCGAGAGGTCAACAAAATTTTTGTGCTCAGAATCCAAAATTTCTACTTGGGCTTTAGGTTTCAGACATCAAGGATCAACGCTGTCCGTTGTTTTCTCTTATTTATGCGCAAACGTGTTTTCCTTGATACGTCTATATCTCTAAAACCGCAAGTTCGATTTGACTCAAATTATGAGGAAATTCAGAGATTTGTAAACGTAAAATGAAATAGTCATCAATTTTATAAAATTCTATCTACTATTCCAAAAAAGTACTTCCGCTTCCAGATAAGGAAATGTGTTATTTGACATGTCTATAGTTTGAAAACGGCGCATCCAATTTGACCCAAGTTGGAGGAAATTTGAAAAACAGTATAGAAATTACTTAGTATCAATTTCATTGACCTCCACCAAATAATTAAAATTAAGATAAATATTTGTTAACAATATAATGGCTGCGAAATGTTGAAGGCACTACTCATAAGGATTGGGAGTAAGGTTATTACAATATTATTATGGGGTTATAAAATTTTAGGTTTTATTGAAAAAATTAATTGATACTGTATTGTTTAGTCGATTCCAATCGTTACGGGCATGACACTTACTGCCGTTACTTAGATTTTTTGTAATTTTTAATACATTTAAAGTAATTTATATTTTGAGTTTGTAAAAAAAAAAAGTCTTATTTGTGGTTGTGTTTATTTCCATTGAAGTTCAACCAGTTCCTCTTGGTCTCGATTTCCTCCTTAAATATCGAAGTTGTGTGAACTTCACCTATATTTTTATGTTTTCTAACTTAAGCGTTTTGTTGTGACTGAAGGAAATTATTGGTCTCGTTAACTCAAACAACAAGTTTTTCCTATGGATTTTCTAATTCATATTTAAGAATGACAACATACCTATCAAGTATATATCACTACTATTAGTGCAAAATTTTCCACTTTTATTCCAATTGTGCAAAAGGGGACATTGTGTAGTCTGTAACTGATATAAGTGTCTGCTACTATGGGAAATTGCAGATGACAATAAAATATAAAACTATCCTAATAAAGCATAAATAAATAATGAGTTGTTATGCACTCTTGCAAAACAATAAATATTTGCATACGACCTTTTGCACTAACAGTAGTGAAATGCATGTTCAGTATGCATTTTTTTTTTTAAATTATGGATAATCAAATATAGAATCTTCAAATACAGCACTCTTTCGTATTTTAATATTAGCTGATAAACGAAATTCGTGGATATAAAACTCGCGAATGTTGAAGGGTAACTGTATTTCCGAATCGGCTTCTTCCAGAGATTTTATTCTCATACGAAAAATTGTATACCTTGTAATATTTTAATACTTTAGCCAATGAAAATGGTGAGGAAGCTATACTGGCCTTACTTGGCAAATGTTTTTCTTGGAATAATTTTTTGTTATAATCGTTTTCGTTTTATTATACTAGGTTTTAATTCTAGATTCTTTAAAATGTTTTTATTAAATGATTCGTAGAAATCGGAGGAACTAATGAATCCCCTAAAGGAGTAATATAAATTCGTGCTGTTTCTATGTTTTGTCTTATTGATATCTAAGCAACTCTTCGTTATGTGATTCAAGATTTTTCTCTAAAAATATTCAAATACTTTTAACATACATAATATGCTAACTTATATTATGTTACACCAGCGGATCCAGGATTTAATTTTTGGAGGATGGGAGGAGAGGGTGTTCAGCCCGAATGAATTTTTTTCAAGATATTTCTCTGGCACCTGTGAAAAGTGTGTCAAGTCCAATTTTGTGAATTTTTATGGGTATCACAAAAAAGTTAATTTTTCACTCTTTCTTTTTTTTAGTTAATTGGGCAAAGTTATTCGTCTATTGCAGAAATAAAAATGTCTTTGTGAATCACGAGTTGAAACTCAAAAACTGAACTTGCATATGTGAAAATCCCAAACTTTCAACTGCTTTTTTTTTCGATAAATATGATTTTTGAACTTAATACACAGTACACAGATGCCACAGATTTAATTAATAGTAAAAGTAATGAGGAATAAAATTAATCGAAACACTCGTTTTTCGTATTATTAATACTCTGTTAAATTACAACTTAAACGACACTCAATTAATAGCATACTTATCTATTTAAAACTGATATAGATTTTCAGAAATATTCTTTAAGAAAATAAAATGTTTACTCTATCGTAATAGAATAACAATGATTATTATAATAACTTTTTCCAGTTGACATTTAATCAAGGTTATAATATTTTATGAACACGCTAATGATTTTAATTTTAACATTTTGTTCAGAAATGAAATTATTTACTAGTAAAATCATGAAGTGTAATTTATATTCTCTTCCAGAACGGATACATAGCTGTAAATAATTGTTAATGATGAAAATATAGAATTTGTTTTTTTACTTTAATTTAATTACTTTTAAGTCGTTTATAAATCATTCAGTAATTAATATCTTCGGTTTATTGCAAAAAGTCACTAACTGCTTTTCTGATATAGATTAGCTTTAAAAATTATTTTTATGAATATTGGCTTTATTTATCAATAAAAAAACACTGTAACGACATGAAAATGAAACCAGCCCTTTTATACATCAAACATACTATAACAAACATGTAATAATTGCAAGCGCACAATTTTTGGATTTCATGGAAAAATTATTCAAAATTCTTGCATGCTTACACTTATAAAATGTCCCTTAGTAAAATTTTGCAATAAACCCAAGATATAATGTTTCACTTTTAATTTTCGCTGTTACATTTTCTTCATATGCTAACATTGTATAATATATGTATTTGATATAATCTTTTACTATTGAAGTGTATTGTTATAATTTTAATTTATTTTATTTTAGCTTGAATATCTAATATAAAAGTATACTTATGCAATCTAGGTGGCTCAATGATCTAGTCCGTTTCATTACATGTTTGTAGTTTATCATAAACAAACTCGAATTTATAGTTAAATTTGCATATAACTTCATCGTCACTGTCTTGGGTCGGACAATGTATGTTTATTAATGCGATTTTAAACCAACGTCCCTGAAACAGCTACCAATATTCTATCACTAAAAAATAGTACGGCCCTCAAAGCGGATATCAATCTATTCCTAATTAGAAACCCGGTACCTAAACAATGATTCCCGCTTCCTCCGTACCAAATAGTGGACTTTCCTTCCCTCATCGATCCCTCCCCTGGCCAGCGAAAGCTCTTGCAGAGCCACGATATCCAAATTGTACCCATTAACCTCATTCGCGACCGATTTTAACTCCCTTGCTGAGTTCAAACTCCTTACGTCCCACGTACCAAATACTTAAATCTCTATTTTTCAGCTAGCGCCATGAATCTCCTTAAGCAGTCTCCACCCGAAGACCCGAACGGAGAACTAGTTTACCGCCGGATAATGAGCGTTTTATCTTAGGGTGATCCATGACTATTTGTGAACTATGGTGAACTAAAGATACGTGAGTAAAGCCTTCAATCCTACGTCACACCCTCCAGCAAGTCTGGAGGGCCCTCTTATTTTTGGTCCAGCGAGTCCATCGGACTTCCAAGGAATTTCCACCTACCATCTCCACATTCACCACCCCTGGGACGCTATCCATACGCGGTAATGTGCCCACGCGACGTAATATAACAATTGTAATGCAAAATATAATTTAAAATAGTTATACAAAAATATAGATTGCCTACGATTAAATGGCATGTCGAGAGTGATAATTTTATTTTGTAATATTTGTATGAAAATAAAAGTAAAATAATAGTCACAAATCAAATTAGTACCGCACGAGTTAGTCCTCAATCTGTCACCTAATTGAGGATAAGCTCTTGTAAAGTATTTACTTATAAAAAAAATAGTGATTAAAAGTATATATATACAAGGCAAAATTCATACAATCTGGATTAATATAAACTATGTCGAAAAACGGTTATAATGTAAATTTAAGCTACCAAATAAGATGTTAATACACAGAATACATTATTTAGAACATAAAACATAATGAAATGAACTAGAGACATTAACATTGTTTTATTTAATATGTAAAATACAGGAATAACAATCAGTAATACTCTGGAATATATTAATGTTATTATATATATTTAGGAATACTAACTTACTATATATCACATACATTTCTTAATAATATAATTTGGTTGATTCCTAAATATTTTGTTTTTTCATTTACTATAATTATTTCATATTTAGGTAATTTTAAAAGGAATAAAATATTTTTTTTATTGTATTATGAAAAGATCTATTTGCATTTGTTACTCTTGGCTGAATGCTAAAAATGAGATTTTATTATGCACTGGCGAAATAATACTGGTTTTAGTTCCACACAAAAATTGAGGCGATGACACTTAAAACAATAATTGAGAAAAAATTAATACAATGGATATATTAGAAGTTGCGGAGTTAAGCGTAATATATACAGAGTCTAAATGAAAAAAAAAAATCTCTATACAAGCCCATTGTTGATATCCTACACCATGAATGTCAGAATGGAGAATAGAACTAGCCTCTCTGTTCTTCTGATGTACCAGTGGCCCAGTCAACTGTATCCCCGACATCTCTTAAAATATCTCCCACGAGAGTTTCTTGAGCAGCAGCACCCAGGAAAAGTCCGACGAGGACGATCGAGAACAGGAGGAAGACAAGCTTCATCGTCAGAGCAATGGAAGGTTCAAATGAAATATCTAAGTCGTTTTCTTTTATAAGTAAGAAATATCAGCTGTGTAAATATGTGAACAACACTGACTGAACATGCTAAAATTTCGTCAGGTAAATATAAGTGTGTCCATGAATAGATCCTGTGTAAATATGTTGTTAAAATATAAACAGAATTTTCTTAGCTTTGTTGCAATACTATAAATCGTGACTAAGCAAGTCTCTTTTTATTATGGACTCATTCAAATTTTATTTTATCCTTCTCGTGTTTTTGTATTTTTTCAGAAAAAAAATATAAATCTTATTTTGTGGCGAAAATTAAGTACAAAAAAAGAGTGTCTGTAATTAAAGAAACAAAGAAGACCCTCACAAGGTAAAATATTGATATTTATTAAATAATATTTCAACAGAATTGCATTAAAAATAGATGGCAGAACTGATCGTAGTGTAAATTAGCCGTTTTATCATGGAGCTGTAGAACTTACCCTGAATACAACTCACATATGTTGATCAAATATATTAAACATGATGACATTAAATTTATTTTACTTTACATAATTTGTAATTACATATTCTAAGATTTTATTAATATTTACATCATATTTTGGAAAATTCAGAAAGTTTTTCTACTGGAAACCCATAATGGAATAAATAGAACATTTCTTATTGGTTTAAAAAATAATAACCTCCGTTGGTAAAGATTTTTTTTTTTTCGAAATCCCATTCTATTAAAATCGTTTTCATTTCATTATAGAAGATTTAGATCTCGATTCTTTAAAATATCTTTATCAAACGGCTTGAGAAAATCGGAGGAACTAGTGAATCCACTACAGGAGTGTTGGTTCTAAGGAGTGTTGCCCAAATGCGAGGCCAAGACAAGTCTTGGTCATGGTATCGGTATTGCGCAAGAGTCTTCCAGTTACTTATAAGCTTATTAATGTAGAGATATTACTGTAACTTTTTAGATAGGAGAAACCTAACTAAGCCCGAATGAAAAATTAGAGGAGTTAAATGCAAAAGTGTATTGGTTATACCAATTATTTACATATAGTAACTATGATTGTCAAGTATTAGTAACTATTTTGCCTTATTTTTATTCAAAAAATCGATTTTTTTTTTACCAGTCCTTGTCTTGGTCTTGCAACAGTTAGACCACTTTGGTCTTGGTCAAAGTGCAAGATCAAGACCGATTTTGGGCAACACTAGTTCTAAGTGTTGTCTTATTGATATCCCAGTAACTCAAGATTTTCTCGAAAAACATTCGAATACTTTTAATGTACATAATATCCAAACTTATATTATGTTATAAATTATAAATTGTGTTATTAAGACAAAGTATTATTCTCCTTAAATGTCAAAATCCCCATTTTTTTCCTCTCATTTCGTCCGGCTCAACTACCTTTGAGGGCCCCTCATAGCATCAACTGCCGGAACTCTTTATGCACTGCCGCTTGCCCTACCTCCCTTCTTGATAGCCCTACAGCCAGGGCCTAAAAAGTAACTTGAGAAACGAAACGGAGAATATTTTGTAAAATGTTTTTATTCGTTTAACTTGTATATTTAGGTTGAAAAATTTAAGAATTAAATTTGCTAACGCGAGTAACTAAGCGAAAACTCTAAAATCGAGATCTAAACCTCGTATAATGAAACGAGCACAATTTTAACGGAAAATTATTCCAGGAAAAAAGATTTCACTAACGGATTTTTTTTTTTTTTTACAGCAATGATGCGTTTTACAGCAATGACAAATTTTCTATTTATTTCATGATGGGGTTCTCCTTTATAAATTGTTTTAAATATGATGTACATATTAATAAAATGTTAGAAAATTTAGTTAAAAACTATGTAAAGTAAAACCAGATTTTTTCGATCTTATTTTTTTCACTCTTATTTGAAGGGAAAAAGCACTCTTTAAGAACATTACGTTGTACGTCGAACGATCCACGAACACTGATTTTTACCAAATTTGAAAAAAACTGAGATAAATTATTACCAATTTTGATTATCAATTTACAAGCCTAATATTCTTTAAATCAGTCTCCGTTTTTCAATGCAATGGCTCTAGAATGACAGAAAAGGTTCATTTTACTTCGAACAACATACATCGTCTGTCGATTATCCTTTTGGCGTACAAGTTTTCTAGCAGAAGTATCTTAGGGATCAGATTGTTTTTGATTTCAGCAATACATTTTAAACTATATAAATCTGACAAAATTTATATAATTAAATAATAAATCTAATATTTGTGTGTATAGTCCAAATGTGAAGTCGATGTACTGGTTACAGAAAGTATTTTTTTCCACTTTTGTATTCCCACTTGACTTACATAAAAGTGACAACAAGCAAATGTGATGATTCAAGTTATAATTTCAAGTATGAACAAGAATATGAATCATCCAGCAGTACCTTATCCCGGTATGATTAAACCCTTTGTTTCATCCCTTATTTTGAATATCTTCTGATGAATTTTATGAAGTATTTTCATTGAAAGGAAATTTAGTCCACAGTCATATTAGCATAAAAACAAATTCAAACAAGCTTTTCGGTAAAATTAAACCATAATAAAATTATATGACTAGATTGGGCAAACAATTGAGTAGACAAACAATATGTATAATTTAAGAAAACGTACTATAAAGAAACAGCAGATAATCAAGTTTTAATTAGCCAGTTGAGTATCCGACTTATTAACGTCATTGTTTCATTGTGTTACTAATAGTAAAACTCGGCTATATATATATATATATATATATATATATATATATATATATATATATATATATATATATATATATATATATATATATATATATATATATATATATATATATATATATATAAGTTAAGGTTCGGTGTGAGATAGATAAGACTTTTAAGACTTAATATTATTTGTTTCAACACATTATTATTTCTTGCAATTTAAAATAAACACATGTTAAAATATGTTAAGAAACATATGTGAAAATATAGACTGTTATAACCTTTTTGAGTTAGATACTACTGTTTGTTGTTAAATAAAAACTATTATTTGTTTTTTTATTTTTCTATTTATCGAAACCAATAGTTAACTGGTGCCGAAACCCTTGTGTTGCCAGGACTGCAGTATTAGAATTATACGTGAGTATCGTATTATTTTTTTTTTACTTGTTTACGCTAAGAAAGCTAAACAGTGAGAGATGCTAAATCAGCAAGTGGAATGGCAAATCCCACCAATGCCAAGAGACACGTTAGTGGAGTCTCATGCGAACACTCTGGCTTGGTTAAAGGTGCGGGCAGCAACTTCTCAAGACTTAAGAAAAGCGGTCTCTGATTTAGAAAAATTCACCGGGGAAACCGGTGAATTGAACCATTTCCTAAAAGCCGGTGATCGGTTGATGAAGCGGATTGAGGTGAAAATAGCGGAAGAACTAATTGACACAGGAGATGCGAATTCAATTAAGGCAGATCTGGTTTGCAGAGTCAAAAGGAATATTCTTAACCTAATCCAAGCCGACGAAGAAACCCCTTGGGCGATTGTCAAGGATAGATTAAAAAAGGCGTATGGAGGCGGAAGATGGACTCCAGAAGAGGACATATTTCACATGTTTAGAGAAAGAAGACAGCCTAAACAAGCTTATGGGCAATATGCTGGAGAACTTTTGTCACAATATAAAAAGATAATGGCAAAGATGCGTGAAACGGCAAGCGCGGCAGAAGTAGAAACAAAGATGTCATTCTTGTCATCAATCCTAAAAGTTCAGTTGGCCAGAGAGACGGGAAAGAAGGATGGCCTACCCAGAGACCGCTCGTTCGTTGAATGCGCGCAAGAAATGATCGACGCAAGCGCGCGCGAAGAGGAAGCCCGGATGGAGATAGAGGAGTCAGGATGGAATCGGGTGACCTACAGAAAACCAAGAATCACACCAACAACATGGAGGAAGAGGAGGGATTTAGAATATGATGAAAAGGAGAGAGGAATGGCTGAAGGGAGGAGGCAAAGTCAGAGAAAATCTAGACCCTTGGGAAGAAGAGAGGACCGTAAGTGCCACGGATGTGGCAAACCTGGACACCTAGTGGCGCAATGCCCCCGCACTAAATGTTTTGAGTGTGGCACAGAAGGACACATCGGTAGACACTGCCCCTACATGCACCGGAGAAAAAATCTACCCAAAGAAGAGCCATTGGAAGTTAACGCCCAGAAGGTATGGAAAAGAAATAGGACTCAGTCAGAATCGTCAAGATCGACAGAAACGACCGAGACCGATGAAGAAGCTGAGGAGCCAGGGAGCAGTGGAGGTGAAGTAGAGAGAAGCAGGCGAAGGAGCGGACGTTGGCAGGTGAGATGGAAGGAGAGAGCAAGTAGAGGCCTGAGGAGGGTGGTGGCCGAGGGGCGACCGCGTGCTATTGAACTGCAGCATGAGGAGCGAGTATGGCGGTCTGCCCATTATCCGAGTAGCAGGTGGAGTGAGATGTCTCGTGGACACGGGGAGTTCAACTACTATCATGAGCCGGAGAGCTGCGGAGAGGCTATGCGCTGGCAAAAGGACACTCCAGACTCAGGTATGTTCATGCAAATTAATCACCCTGGGAGGCCCGTGTACGGTAGAGGGGGAAACGGTTTTGAGATTGAAGAAGTGGGGCGTGAGGGAGGGTAGTTTAAAGGTTCATGTAGTGGGGAGTATGCCTCGGGAATATGATGGGATAATAGGATGTGATCTATTAGGAATGGTAGGAGCGAAAGTTAGTAACAAAGGCGGACGGTGGACTCTCTGGATTGGTAAAAAGAAATACGAGTGTGAAAAACGCATAAGAAATGACGGAGCAAGGGTAGGAGCGATCACTCAGGCAGTAGACTGCAGGAAAATATTGAAAGAGGAATATGAGGATATCTTCTTCGAGGAGGGCGGTGTATTGGGTGTAACGGGGGAAACTGTTCACGAAATTCCGCTGAAACAAAATCGAGTTACATATGTAAAAGAGAGGCGGTACCCGCATGCGTTAAGACAACATATCAGAGA